TTAAAAAAATTAAAAAACTAATGCTGCAATTTGATTGGTTAATATCATGTATTATATTTATATAAAATTTTAAAAATTAGAGGGGGTTATGTTAAACAAATAATCAGCTTGGTGTGGCCTTATATAGATATAATTTATATATCTACTACTATCTAACCTTATCCTTATCTATAATACTAAAAACATCAAAATCTGATATCGAAATGCTTTAACAAAATCTATACTGCTCAAATCAAGATTTTTACAAATCGGGAGTCCCTTAAAGCAGGGCAGATTACGTTATAATTAGCCAACCAAATTGTTAAAATTTGTTCAACCCGACAAAGTAAAACAAGCGAAAAAAAGAGAAATATGTGAAAAATAGAAGAAACTGTAAAAAAAATAAAAACGAAAAAAAAACAAAGAATCAAAAAACATATTTGCTATGAAAACTAGTTTTTTGCCATTAAATAAAATCTTCAGCACAAAAATTTAGACATATTGTCTCTAATTTGCTCGTATTTTAGTTCATGCGTACCTATAAAAAAATTATAAACTCTACTTTCTGCGACAATTCCGTGCTATCTTTGACGCACTTGATTCCGTGAAATGCAGAAAATCATCGGCCCTGGGCCTGTATATGAGTACTATAAGAAGCCAATCAGATTTCACGATCAGGTGTAACGCGGATCATATTAAATCGGATTAAAATGAAGGTTTCTATTTAACCCTCTAAAACCCACTTATACTCGTTTATTATAAACCCTACCCTAAAACTAACCTCTAACCCTAACCCCTAACTATAAAAATGCACCTCAAAAATTTTTATTTTTCGATGGCTTGTCTATTTTCTACATTGTCAATATTTTATTTTAATCCGATTCATACGGGCGGAATTTTTTGATTTGGTGACTATTAAAAATTCGATGTTAATATTTTATAAAAATTTATCAAATCATTTAAATGATTTATGTGATATATTGCATGTTCACCGGTAAATTGAATCGTACGATTGTATTTGATTGGTCAATGGCTTATGAATCGCTTATGAAACCGTTTATAAATTGCATAATTCTTATGCATTTGATTGGTCAATTGCTATAAATTTCTTATGAAACTGATCATAATATTTATAAATTATTATATAAATCATTATGTATATCACTTAATTTTAGTAATCACAACAATCCCATCAAAAATTTTGATCATTTTAATCAGTCACAATATCATTATCAAATCATAAAAATAATTTTATAAGAAAAGCAAACGAAATCGAAAATTTTATTTGTCAAATTATATTATAAATTTTTTAAAAAATGATCGAGTTCAAAAACATTTGAAAAGCCTATTAGAATTTCTCGATGATAATTCGTCGTGAAACCTTTATTTTATTACGCGAGAAGTTATGATTACTGCATCAAAGTTCCTTAAGATCCATTAAATACAACTATTGGAATCATTAGGTCAAAAAACGTTCAGGTTATGAAATCCTGGAATATTAATAATCAAATTTGTCAATATGTCCTGTCGACAGAATACATGGCATACTTCGTAGTTTACGTCAAAATGTTTTAAAGCATATTAGCTCTTCGAATCTATGGATGCGATATGTAATTTATATTCAAGCTTAAATTAAAAAACAAATTTAACTTAGATATGTTTAATTTATTCATAGATTTCTGAGTAGTGATGCGCATGAATGCGTAAAAAAAAAACGGGAGTCATATGAATCTTGATGGGAAAAATGCGCATTAGCTCATCTCTATTTCTGAACAATACCGTTTCACAATTATTCTTTAAAGAATTGAACAACTTTATAAGACGAAGCTTTTTACGGCAAAACCAATCATCTCTATATCTGTCACATGAGTCAAAATGTTTCTTTAGAACCAAATCCGAATTGAGTAATATTCATCCAGAAGTTATAAGTTTACGAGAAGCTTTACTGGCACAACTAACGTCACAAATCAGTAATATAAATCGCTGGAAATGTAAAAAGGCAAACTTATCTCGCAGAAAGCTGTCAACATAATAATCACGTTTATTAATTAGTGTAATTAGAATATACGGTAAAATATATAAATAGCTTTGTAACGTATTGCTATTTAAATTGTATTTAATTTTAAAATTGAATGTGCACAAAGTGGAATCAGTATCAACTTTAAATTGGATCGAAATTCTTAACGATTTGTGTGGATTTAAAATTTTGCTTCAACTTAAGTGTATTTAGAATCAACTTATGTTGATTTTAAATCTACCAAGATTCCATTCCGACGTACAACATAATACAAAATAGCTTTCTAATTGGCTTTGCACTTTGTTTTCATAATTAAATATAATAATAGCCAATCACAGGAGCGATCAGTTTGGGGTACACAAACTCGCGATCATCTTGTATCTGACTCCAAATTCAGTAAATTCAGTAGAATGAAATTCATTTTCACATATAGTACGTACATATATTAATTCCGAATTCTATTTTCATGTGATTTTTTTAAACAAATTTAACCTTTAATCTTAATTGTTACCGGATAATTAACATAAATTACGGAGTCTTTGGTCCGAAAATTTAAAGTACATGAACAAAGCCCATAAACTATATAACAAAGGATTATATTAACAAAAAGAAACAATAAGTTATATTTTAAAGGAAATCACTTAATGATTCCAATTTATAAATAGCACAATAAATTGGACACTCTGTATTCTGAGTTATTAAGTCTTTTTTTTTTTCTATCCTTTAAAAAGCGAAATTCTAACTTTTTTAAAATTTCAATCGGAAATCAAAACACTTAAAAAAACTGCTAAAAAAAATCTTTCTAGAATAAAACAATTAGTGTAGAATACCAACATTTACTTCAAATTTTTACCCAATACTCACATGGAGTAGAGACTGCTCGAGTCAACTCGTAGCTTAAAAAACATAGTCTTAACTCGAATTAACTCGAGTCAAGACTATGTTTTTTAAGCCACGAGTTGACTCGAGTCCAGTCTCTATGGAGGAGTTACCATTATTGCTACAAATATTAAAGATATACATGGATTACGGGAATCTTTTCGATAACAGTTATGTATAATGTCACAATATCCTTTGGTAAAAAAAGCTATCAATTTTCTACGAACATTTTATTAAATGTATAATATTTAAAATAAATACTGGTATTCTTCCAACAAAAATTTAATATTATAACTAACGCCCTGATATGTGATGCCAATCATATTACAACATCTCGTTTCACCGATACTATGATTACAGCTGTTTTCATTGGTTTGGGGATATTTGAAAAATTGTTAATAACTGAATTGATAAGTTTTGATGTCGGCCAACGTAGTAACTTATTGATTCCGACTCAGTAACTTATCTATTCGGCCGGCAAAAAATTTTTCAGATGTCCAAAAAATAATGAACACAGCTGCAATTCATTGACAAGTTTATTCACCAACCTTTATTTCACCGAAGTAATTCTGGTCATTGTCGTTAGGGCCAGGCTTGAATTAGGGTTAAGGTTAGTGTGATTTATAAAATAAACTTGTCAATGAGCTAAATGTCGGTAAAATTGTCGATGAAATGTATGTATGCGGATCACGTGAAATATCATTGCCGATCACTCATCACATGACAATATTTGCTAAAAAAACAAATATTCAATGTATCAAGCAAAACTTATAATTCTAATTTCTACGTTATATGATATAGTAGTTTTAGAATTCATATACAACCAATGAGAATCTAAGAGATATACAAGCAAAAAAAACTTTTATTTTATACAATCGATATACTGTAATTGATAATCCACAGCTATTCGTACAATATTTGAAAAACTTTACAAGTTATTCAAAACATTTCTATTATTTTTTATTTTTAAATTCAGCTTTCCAAATAATAAGCCGAAGAGAAGCAATTTTCCAACGGATAAAATGGCCAATTAATAATCTTTTCCAAGGGCGCATTTAGAAGTGCCATTTTTTCCATGGAATCACTTATAAGCGCCTGCGATTTTTTAGGTGGTCTTGGTAGACGTTGTTTAGATCGTTTCTTGAGTCTTGGCAGACGTTGCCTCCTGAGTGTTAGTGGGCCAGGAATAACCAAATCGATTTGTAATGTGGATGTCATAGATACAATCGACCCTATAGCTTCTTCAGGCGGAATGTTTCGAATTATTTCCGCGATTTTCTCACAATCTTTGCATGAAACTTTAAATTTATATTCAGCTCTATTACAAACTTTTTCAATGACACGCCTAACAATTTTTCTTTTATCTACATAGTTTTAAATTTCACTTAAAAAAAAGAAAAGGGAAAAAAAAAGAAAATATAACGCTAATTTTTTCTTCCTTACTCTTATTTGGTCTTCGAATTAATTGAATTAGTTGTTGGCACAAGAATTGTTTATAATCATCCATCGCGAAAAATATTAAGAAAGCATAGATTTCAAAAGGTTCGAAGCTATTATTTAAATAAGAATTTTTAATAACTTAAATCAAAAAAAAAAGCAATATGACATAAAATTATAGTATATTATTTATTCATGATAATGAGTCACTGGTATGTCTCACGTTTTTTTTAAAAAAAATTTAAAATTTATTTATACAACGTAATAACTTGAAAATCTTTTCATTTAAGTTTACATTAATACATAATGTTCAATATATAAAAATATTATATTAGGGTTCCTTTATTACGCGTACTTGAATTGCACAAATTTCAGAATTTAGGTTTGTTACAGTCAATATGTTATTTATAAGTAAATAAGTAGCGATTATCATTTGATGTTTCATAAAGTTCTGCTGTTTTTATTGATGATTCTTCACGGCTGATAATAGTATATTTTTTCCCATGGGTAAGGAGAAGTTGATTATGTACGTAATATTTGGAAGAAAACAGATGGCAGATCATGATAATGGTCGTATCATATCGTAACTTTACAACACAATAGTTTATCGTATAATAGCAAGAATATTTGCGCAAAAGTTCAATTATTAAAGAAAATAAATGTTGGCGCTGAAGCTGATCAGTAAATAATTAACAAATCAGACGATTAATTTAGTTTCATCTAAATAATTGAGATAATCGATCGAAGTAACTTTTTGGATAATTCGATAGAAAATATGCTAATCCTAAAATTAGTCTTTAAAATGCTGAAATACCTATCCTGTCATCAAAATTAGCCATGGGCTTGTTTCTAAAAAATTTGTAATTAATAGAAAAATGTGATTAAACTGTTAAGGTAGCTTTTTGTTTTAATTTTTTCGCATGAACTATACAGTATATGAATTGCCGTGCCAGAAATTCGATGTACTTGCACTACTAAAAAATAACTTGACAGCCCTTCCGAAAAAAGCATAATTTGTAAGGATCAAAACATGATTCATCGGTGTCATTCTAGTTAATAATATGATTTCCGTTTAATTCCGTTTGAACTGGTCGGAGACAATTGTAACTAAATTTACGCTACTGAATTTCGATACTTTGACTAACTGGCAAACTTGTAATAACCTTGTCAAGTATTTTATGGACTAAATTAAGTTCTTTGATTACTATTTTTGTGATCTTTCTAAAAAAATGGACATCTGAAGTCGTGTCCAGTCATATGATTCAATTTTTGATTAAAAGTGTTAGGGAGAAGGCGAGACGTATACAGTAAGTAAAATCGTTTCCCAACATATTTTATTGGTATATAATGATAGATTTAGAAAGCTATATTTATATTTTTGGTGTTTCGCTCTTTGTTTTGCTATTATTGCTTAACAGAATTTACAACTTTATTACATGATTGAGAACGACCGAGTATATTTGATAATAATAATATTACTATAATACTACGTATAATCACATGTTAACCTTTCAACCAAATCCCAGGGTTGTAAAATTTATTAAGTTTGTACAGTAGTAAGTTACTAAAGTGGTAAGTTACCGGTAAGTTACCACATCAATGGTTTATCGCTAAAATTTCATGGTAACTTACTACTACGGTACGTAACTTACCACTAACAAAATTATTCATGCATATTGTACGTTGTACAAAACCTACAAAAACTGCAAAATTAACATCCCCATATTTGGGGTAATGCAGGGCTGGCGTTTTATCTATGAAGATTATCATGTCTCACTGATACGTACGTACGAAAATTCAGAAAATTGCAAATTTTGCATTTAGAAAATAGTAAAATGTGTTTACAGAATTCCTGACGCCGCCAATAATCGAAATAGTAATAGTAGTAATCACATGATCTCTCGGATAATAATATTGGATTGCATAATAAAAATTTTGCCGATGGTCACGTGACTACAATTCGATTATGACTGGAACAAATATCTTATTACCTAATTTCTCAGACTCAATCCTAAGTCTTGTAAGATGTGATCGTGCTGCAATTGTTGATACGAATTTATCCGATAAATTGAGTAACTTTACACAAAGTTTTATATGCATGATTCAGGAGCCTGCAAATGCTTCGGCCGTAATAAAAACATCAAAGGTAAACCAAATAAAAAATTCTCACGCAAATTCTTTTTATGATCTACCACGGCTGAAGATATTCAAGGCGTTCCCAAGCATTTCCACAATGGACTCAACGAAGAATCTGATTGGTCTGACTAATCAAACTGACCAATCAAATTCTTTATTGAATTCATTGAGAAGAATGCAGAGCGCTCTTAGATTAAGGTTTTTCATTAATATGATAAAAGACAGTTTTGTATCATTGTGAATTGATTATGCGTGAGTTTTTATGAGCTGGCTTTACTTCGTTTCACACGTTTAATCACAAACTTTTTTTGGCTCGCGATATCATAAATTTCGATTTTAATGTTTTACTGTATCAGATTCGAAAATACAAAAATATTTAATGGATCGTTATTGAAAAGTTATAGAAAACTTTTTGTACAACAAATAAGCAACCCTTCGTTTGAAAATTTACGAAATTTTTAATTCTAGCTAAAAAAAAAAACCTCCCAATTCCTGTAATCATAATTGAATTATTTTTGTACTTGTGTAAATGAAGATAGAGTATATTGTTCAATCGCAATAGACAATCTGAATGAGACGCCAACTAATCTAAAATTAGGTTTTATAGATTTTATAGTTTTTTACTTATGGGATTTAGTTTCTGATGTTATATTTAATAATAATAAACTGCATTATTTATTGAAACCCATGGACTAAACTATCAAATTTATAAGAACAGGTTTTAAAAATAAATTTGGAATTGTGTAATTATTTGTCAAATTCTGATTTGACGATTTATAATGGTCTAAATATTGTCATGTAATAATTGGGATAATTGGCGGGGCGCTCTCTCTGTCCAGGCAAAACTTTCGTTTCTGATACTTTTGCGCCTACTTTTTTTGATACATCTTAAAATACCCTAAAATTTTTACACTTTTACTGTAATAACACACAAATTATTGGGGTATGTTTAAATGTATCAAGAATGTAGGTACAAAAGTAAGCTTTGTCTATCGGAGGCTAGTAGCGATCGCAATTAGTGATGCAGGTGAATCGTCCTAATGATGCCATAACTTTTGCCGTAACTTGTCATAACTATCTTTGTAATATGTAATAATTATTATAAGTTACTACATTACTGCCGTAACTTTATTATGTTACGACAAGTTACGGTAAAAGTTACGGCAAGTTACGGCACCTGCACCTCTAACCGCAATCCTGTTCCCGTGACTGAAATCCAACTTATCCACCAATGTATCAATATATCCTTGGAGAAAGTATGGATCGGTCGAATACCTATATTGTTATTTATTTCGGGTTATCATCCTCATTAAGCAATAGCGATAGTAGTAATTTTGAAATACCGATAATGATTGACCCCAGTGATCATCGCATCACATGAACTAACAAATCGGCCTAAATTACACTTCTGCACTTAATAACATTCTTTTTACTCTCATAAGAAATTCGATTTTCATAGTAAATTGCAACGGTTAGCCATTTTCAATCATTGTTTTCAGGGTTTCCTAAAAGGAAGGGATGTATTGAGCGTTCAGAAGGTTAAATATTATGCGATAAGCAAGTTTAAAATGAGATAAAAAAGTAAAACCAAAAGAATCTTGCTCATAAAGATAACCTTTTGTTTCATATTCTATAATACTTTGCAGTACAATAGATCTTAACATTTTGCTGATTAACAAAGGTATTTTTATGTAATATAAATATTTTTAACAACTTTACTCTGATTTTAAAAGCTTTTAATCTCTTAAATATCGATTTTTATACCACACATCAATTGTAAGTTGTTATCTACCATTGATATCTCTTAAATTTCAGGATACACCTTTTAAACATCAAGAAAAGAACATTAATTGAATGGTTATTGTATTAGGACGTATTTTTGATTAAAGATTTACGTCTTTTTGTTATCATTCAATCAATTCAATCCATGTATTACATCGTTAAAATAAAATTTTACTCTCACTTATATATTATTTTATTGTTTATAAATTTATTTTTATTATAATAACCATAGTATAATAATACAAAACATATAGAATAATAAAATAAATGTATAAATAAAATGAACAAGAACAATAGTTTTCTTTCATCTTTATTTTTTTTTTCGTATCGTACAGAAGGTGCTGACACATGTCGTCACGACGCAGACTAGTCTAAATAACGAATCATAGCATTCATACCGTGAGTCTTAGAATCGGAATGATTCTGTAAGAGTCCATATGACTGTCCATATGACGTCAACATTTTACTTCCTAACCAATAAAGCGTATATGAATGATAGAATTCCAAGCAATTTCCATGACAAAATTACACTATTCATTATTCATAGATATTGATATTAAATATTTCTCTTTTTTATGTATTACAAGAGTTTAACTGTTATTATCATTGGATTTTGTATTTCATTTACATATTTTCTCCATTTCTCTCTCTTTCTTTCTTTTTTCTTTTTATTTTCAATTTCCGTGACGTAATATACAGTCCAGACCACGAACATTTTTTGTACTAAAAATGGCATTGATGATTTGCAGATCACGGAACCGTTAATTTTTATTCACTTTGCAATAAAATACTATAAGTCTATCCCGAACTTTCAAGCCTTATATCGTTCTTTACAAAAATTAAGAACGAGCTTGTCAGAATAGTTTAATAATAGAATACCCAGATCTCTCAAAATAGTACGTACATAAGAAACATTTACCCACTTTGTTACTACTGAACGCTCGAGTAACACGTCCCATTATAGACAAGTTTTTTTTTCATCACCCAATCAACTTCTCATCCATTGTTACAGAAGTACAATTAGTTCGATGATGAAAAAAAAGATCTATATGAACCATAAACTTTTTAGTTCAATTAATTTAACTCGATTAATTTTGAGGTTCATCATCGATACCTTAATTGGATGTGTTGCAATAAAATTTATTGTACACACACACATACGCTCTTACCTAAAGTGGTTGTGTTATTAATGTTAGTTTATGTAATTTCTCATTCAAAAAAAGCATGCATCATTTTAAACTGGGAATTAAATTATAGCGCGTACGTACATAGTATGTATGTACGTACGTACGCACATACTGTGTACTCCATTAAAGCTACTTTAATCGACATATCAACAAAAAAAAGAGAACGTAAAAAAAAATGTACAAAAACAACCACAAATTTCGGTACTCAAATATTTTCACGAAAAAAATTTCAATCTTGGCTCTGAGTAATTATAACGCGATAATCTATTTAAACAGTAGCGATCTAAATAACAAAAAAATAAAATAAAAATAAATAAAAACACAAATTCATGGGATCAAAAAATTCTGATTTCTATAATCGAAAAAGAAATGGCCTTTCTCTTTATATAATAACATATAAGAATGAGCTCGAAAAGAAGTCACTTCATAATCTCCGAGAAAAAGTTATTATACTTAACGCTACCAAGGCTTATCGGAATGAAACTGATGATGTCAGGAAATATTATGACGAACGCGTAAAGCAGCATCAATATTAAAAAAAAAATGGGTTAGATGTAGTATTTCTTGGTTGAAAACCACATGAACGTATTACGATAATCATACTAAATGAAAGGCCTACGCCAAAACTTCAATCATAGCATAAAATTAAACGATGTATTTGTAATTAGACACATAGACAAACATGTAATATAAGGAAAAAAAATAAAAATTTTCATACGCTCAGCTACATGAATTTTACCTAATCCATGTAAAGCTAGTTTTTCACAATCTTACATCGATTATCATGATAATTTATATAATAAAGAGGTTACCATTTCATTAATGGGTATCCGTAAGCTGTACTAAATTTAGTACAAAATACTTAATTTAGTACAGTAAAAAATTGATTTTTTTAAAAAAAATTGATTATTATTCTTATATCAAACTTTTGTAAGATATAAATACACAGTCAGATCTCTATATGTAAAAATTTAGCCAAACGTGCACTTAGAGAGGTATTGCATTTAGGGAGGTAAAAATCTATAGACGTAATATTAGTTGGGCCCAAGAAAAGACGCGCATTTAGGGAGGCTTTTCATAGGACTTGCATATAGGGGGGTTGCATTTAGGAGGTCTGACTGTATATCTATTTAGTCTACTTATAATAAAACTTAAAATTTTTAATATAATATTTATTTTTAATATAAAATATTTGATAAAAATTGATTTTTTATAAAATATTTTATAAAAAATTTAGGGAATTATTTTTTATACCCCAAATTTATTATTCGTACCCCCTGCAAAAATTTTAACTTTGAAAGAAGATATCTCGGCGACCACCAAGTTAAATTCGATGGATTTTTTTATTTGAATTCTATGAATTCGCAGAATTCGAACAAAAAAAAGTTCATTGAATTTGACTTGGTAGTTACTAAGATAACTTCGCTCAAAGTTTAAAAAAAAAAATTCAAAATAGCGATATTAAATTTTTTTTAACTTCGAGCAAATATATCTTAACAACTACCAGGTAAATTCGGTGAAATTTTTTTTTGTTTGAATTCTATAAATTCATAGGATTTAAATAAAAAAAAGTTCATTGAATTTGACCTGGTGGTTGCTGAGATATCTTCACTCAAAGGTTTAAAAAAGTTCAAAAGTCTATCAAAACAAAAGCTGCGCCAAATTTTTTCCAACATTTGAACAAAGATATCTCAGCAACCACGAAGTTAAATACAATAAACTTTTTTTTATTTGAATTCTATGAATTCATAGCATTTAAATAAAAAAAAAATCATTGGATTGGAGTTTGTAGTTACTGAGATATCTTAGTTCAAAGTTTGAAGAAAATTTTGGCGCAGCTTTTGTTTTGATTGACGTTTTGACCTTTTTTTAAATCTTTGAGCAAATATATTTCAGCAACCACCAGCTTAAACATTTTTTTATTTAAATCCTATGAATTTATAGAATTCAAACAAAAAAAGTTTATCGAAGTTGATATGGTGGTTGCCAAGATATCTTCGCTCAAAGTTTGAAAAAGTTTTGGTACAGCTTTTGTTTTGACAAATTTTGAATTATTTAAACTTTGCGCGAAGATATCTCAGCAACCACATGGTCAAATACGATGTACTTTTTTTTGTTTGAATTCTATGAAATCATAGAATTCAAACAAAAAACGTTTATCGAATTTAACCTGGTAGTTGATAAGATATCTTCGCTCAAAGTTAAAAAAAATTTAATATAGCTATTTTGAATTTTTTTTAAAATTTGAGCGAAGATATCTTAGCAACTACCAAGTCAAATTCGATGAACTTTTTTGTTCGAATTCTATGGATTCATAGAATTCAAACAAAAAAAAATCATCGAATTTAACTTGGTGGTCGCTGTGATATCTTCTTTCAAAGTTAAAATATTGCAGGGGTACGAATAATAAATTTGGGGTATAAAAAATAATTCCCAAAATTTATAACAAATTTGATTTTTTAATATAAAATTTTTTAATAAAAGGCTTAATTTAATTTTAAAATTTTAAATTAATTTAAAATTATTTGTATAATTTATTAAGATAATAACTATCCTTTTTTAATACAAGTTTGTAAAGCCAATTTTTCTAATTCTAAAGATAATAAAATTATTAAATTTGGCCAAAAACTCATTAAAATAATTAAAATACAAATATTTCTAATTTTTTTTTCAGTATTAAGATGATCTCTTTGGCTATATCTTTTTATTAAAAGTTTTATTTTGGTTACAACTAGCTACACATACACTTTTGATATCTAATTTAAATAGTTTGCATTTAAGCTATTTTACTTAGAGTTTTATAGTACTTGTAACCCAACTATGAAGTTACCTATTTAAACTCCCTGATTTATAATTTTATCTCTACTACTGTCTTCCTCCTATATAGTAACCTCCTATATAATCACATCATAGTAAAACCCTTTTTATAATCACACCAAGGTCTGCACCATTTTACTAATAAACTTATAAAAAAATACTTCTTTATAAGTACATTATAGTAAAAACCTTTATACAATCACACAATTTGCATGATACAGACTGCGTGATTATAGAGGAGGACAACAGTATCCGAAATTCAAATATTATAATGATGAGTGACGTGAAGTATTACCTATCCTATTCAACAGAATATTTATGCCAATTTGAATAGCTTGTTTCAAATATTGTTGAACCACACAAAACTGATCATGTCAAAATTGATGATCTGTCAAATCTCAAAAAATTAACCCACCAAGTCTGTTTTTGCTATATGAGTCCAATAGTTTATAATGCTGATGATCTCTGGTTTAACAGTATGTATCTTTTAATGAAAAATTCAATTCTTTAATGGGTATATTGTGATCCTAATTATTTATATTCACGAATTTAAATTCTGTTAAATCTCCCAAAACCGGCCAGATTTTGTATCAATTTTAAGGTCATCAGATTTGGAACATTATAAATTATTAGATTCATATAACGGCAATAGACTTGATGGATTAATTTTTTATTAGATTTGACAGGTTATCAATTTTGACAAGATCAGTTTTAAGAAGTTTAACAGTATGAATCTAATAGCTTATAATGTTATCAAATTTAATGATCCCCTAATATTGATACAAGAAACATTAGTGTAGAGGTTATTCTATTAGATTATAGAGCATTTTTCCAGCACAGTCATCAAAAGGTTTATGATGATAAATACAATCAAACTGTAACACTGGATTTGTAATCTCTATTTGTAACTATTATTGGCTTTTACACAAGTAGAAACCTACCTTCCCGAAACTTAAAAAGTTTTCCTGAACCCTTTTCGATCTCGTTCTAAGAAATGTATAACTACAAGATAGGGCAAAGAACCAATTGTTACTAAGAAATTAGATAACTTTCAGATAGAAATAACAACGAGGAAACGAGATAAGATAACTCACCAGAGGCTATGTTGATTTGGTTATTATCTGGATGATCTTTAAGAAAGGAGTTAGTGGTTTTATGCGCACATTAATGTTATAACCAAGTTAGGTCCTTTAAAAGACTTATAAATATCCTAAACCTTATGATTCACCCTGGGTTTCTATAGACTAATTCTAGGCATGCATTGTCGGCCAGTAAGTTTCATACCTTCAGTCTTCGTGGCGCAGTTCAATATTGTTACATTGAACCTAAGTGCCGCACAAAAAATGCGCAGCAGATCCTTGATTTTGATTGGATAAGAGCAATGATCAAAAAATTAGGCTGGAATTACTCATAATTTTACTAATGTAATCGTAGCCGCCTATTAAGTGAAAATTGTTCCTGGGTCAATTTTACCATAATGCAGCTTATTTTTTAACTATTTCTATGTTTGTAATGAAAAAATCAAAAGTCAACTCCAGCCGGAAATTAGTAGACAATTATGTAATACAAGCCAAAATTTTGAAGATCTTTGGTCGTAAGCCAATCAAAATCAAGGATCTGCCATGCATTTTTTGTTACATTACAGCTGTTTTGAGATGATCATCCAATTTTCTATAATTTTTCAGCTGATATATTATTGCAGTATCGTTTGTTTCGATTTTCGGACTGATACGGGATGTGTTGTAACAAATTATATTATCAAAAAACTACACTGTTATTACCGATGATCACAAAATTCATCCTGTGTTCCCAAAACAGCTGTAATCCTAGGCTCCGCTGCGCAGCAAATCCTCGATTTTGATTGGCTAACGGCCGAGAATCTTCAAAATTTTGGCCTGCATTACATAATTATTTACTAATTTCAAGCCAGAATTTACTTTTTAATTTTTTTATTACAAAAATATAAAATTTTTTAAAAATAAGCCCATATTATGATAAAATTGGCCCAGAAAAAATTTTCATTTAATAGGCGCTGAGATTTCGTTAGTAAAATTATGAGTAATTCCGGCCTAATTTTTGATTGTTGCTCTTAGCCAATCAAAATCGAGGATCTGCCGCGTATTTTTTGTGCGGCAGATCCTCGATTTTGATTGGCTAATAGCATGATCAAAAATTAGGCCGGAATTACTCATGATTTTACTAACGAAATCGCAGCGCCTATTAAATGAAAATTTTTTCTGTGTCAATTCTACTATACTGCGGGCTTATTTTTTAAAAATTTCTATTTCTGTAATGAAAATATTAAAAAGTTAATTCCAGTTGGAAATTAGTAAATAATTATATAATCTGGGCCAAAATTTTGAAGATTCTCGGCCGTTAGTAATGTTGTTAGTTGAAATACCCTATTAAGTCAAATATTTAGACAATTTTGTGTCAGAATATATTTCAATATAACATTATTTTTGTCAAAATGTCAAAAATCTAATTTGACTAATGCCTAAATAGTTGATTAAATAAATATTATATGACTAAATGTCTAAATTAGTACGTAGTAGAGAGAGCTTGTACAAGATTATAAACATTTAGCATAGTGAGTACTGTGTGAAAAATAGCACGCATAACATATGAGAAAATTTTCAAGCTGAAAAATATATACAATATAATTAAACCCGCTTGATAGAGGCACATAGCTGTTTTTAGATTAAATTTATTTTAAGTAGCATGAAATCCACAAAATAAGCAAGTTTGTATATTTGCTAATAAATTTATATATATATATATATATATATATATTTTTTTTTTTTTTTTTTTTTTTTTTTTTTTTTAATTTTTAAACTGATGTCACAGATGCTAACACTTTATTGTGTTTTTATATGTTTATACAACATTTTTTTGGTACATTGATGAGCGTACAACTAGCTACACGTACAACTTTTGGTTGTCTATTTAAGTAGTCCGCCCGAAAGTTCTACACTAGCTGCCATACCTACAACCTGCTAAGAGATTGTCTATTTAAACCCTCTGATCTTCTGTACCCACTCCGCAGTTAGCCCCATAAGTTCCTGTAAACCAAGGTGCCGTCTAACTCGACATTTGGTTTCCCTTTCTGTGCTAGGGCCCAGGCCGTACCCAATTTAATGAGTACTGTCACCCAGTAGCAAGGCTCAGGGTGCCCCTGTTAACAACCTACCCACTCTATGGTTCTATCAACAGAGCTATGCCCTTTAAAGTTCACCCAAACCCCGGTACCCACTTCACAGCATATCCCCAGTACTTTAGTTCCTCTCCACTTTAGTCCTAGACTACCAATCCAAATGGCCCGGAAGGACTGTGACCTGTCCTTGGTTCATCGGCTCTGCCATGACCTTTTCCTCTAGTTAACCTGGCGGCCTGGTTGGTGAATCGGCTTTACCACAAACCGATCGTGCCCTGTCCAGTTCTTCCACTTCGGTTTTCCTTTTCCCGGGTCTAGCCTTTACAGTAGTACTGTCGAAGATTTGTGCTACCTCTTTACTCGGGTCTTCCCAAATGGGCTTCTGTCCTCCCAGTCCTACAGATTTATATGACCTAGGGACTTATCAAGTGTTTGCACCGCCCATTGCCAGTTTGCATTCCTCTGTGTAACCCAAGGTTGCACAGATGCCCTAGACCTGCCAGTCATGCTGGTGCGACCATAGTTACAGGTATCCTATCCCAACTAATCGTCAGAAGACGGTTGCCGTAACACAGATAATTATTTGAATTTTCGCCATCAGTAGGTTTCAAACTCTTGACCTGCCACTTGGTGAGGGTGACAACCTAACCACTACACTAGATTGCCACACCTCTTTTATATGTTTACTAATAATTTGTTTTTAAGTATAAAATGTGATAAAGAGAGGTTTTTATATAATATAATTATAGAGAGAGTAACTATAGAGGGGGATGACTATACAAATAAGTTAATTAAGATATAAAATTTAGATCAATCTATAAAAATAAGTATGTGAAAGATCAAATTCTTCAATATATAACTAGCATATAATCCGTCACTTTGCTCTGGAATTAAAAAATAAGTATAGAATTAATATATACTTGCTATAGTGGTTGTAGTAAGTAATTAAAAGCACAGAATTTAAACATGAAACCTGTGGATACCCCAAATTTGGAAATCAGGTTTTATATATAAAAATGATCTTTTTTATAAGCAGCTAGTATTCCTATGAACCTGCAGTTCAAAGTTCATAAATATGTTCAAAGATTCAAATAAAGAAAAAAATAAATAATCGCAAAGATAAAAATACTTATATCTCACAATCTACTAAGTCAATTTTAATTGTTTAACCACCATTCTGTTCCCAAGACACTTCTTTACAACTTTACTTAGATGTTGAAAAGAGGTTTAGTTAGTAAAGAAAAAATTTTTTTCTTTGAGAAACTTCAAAATTAAAAAGTTTTTTCATAATAAAAGTTTTAAATTTTAACTAAACATTTTTCTTTACTAAGTAAACCTATTTTCAACTTCTAACAAACGTTGTAGAGGAGTATCTTGTGATCATAATGGTAGTTAAAATATTAAAATCGGCCTAGTAGATCGTGAGATATAAGTATTTTATCTTCGCAATTATATGCTTTCTTCTTTATTTTTAAAGAAAAAAAATTTTTTTTATATAAATAAAGAAGAAAACAAAGATAAAAATACTTATATCTCGCGATCTACTGGGCCGAGTTTAACGTTTTAACTACCATTTTGATCGCAAGATACTCCTCTACAACATTTGTTATAAGTTGAAAATAGGTTTACTTAGTAAAGAAAAATTTTTAGTTAAAATTTAAAATTTTTATTATGAAAAAAACTTTTTAACTTTGGAGTTTCTCAAAGAAAAAATTTTTCTTTACTAACTAAACCTCTTTTCAACACCTAAGTAAAGTTGTAGAGGAGTGTCTTGGAAACAGTATGGTGGTTAAAATGTTAAAATTGGCCCAGTAGATTATGATATATAAGTATTTTTATCTTTGCGATTATTTACTTTTCTCTTTTGAATTTCAGGTTTATAGAAACACTATAACTAGCCAATCAAATTATATTTTTGTCTAATAGTGTTTATCTCATAGTGTTTGTCTCATAGTGTTTGTCTTTTGTATAACACTGCCTTGTATTATATAATAGATATATGTATCAAAATTTTGTGAAAAATATTATTAGTTATACTAATTTGCTTTATATTACAGAGATATTAAGCCACATTGGCTAGAGGCTTTGAATATCAGATCAATCTAATAATTATGAACTACTAGAGATTGGTTACTAACTAACTAACTAAATCTGTAATTATAATTTTTTCAGGGTATCATAGTATTGTTATGATGATATCTGGCTAGAAGAGTTTAAAGAATTTTTTTTTTTTTTTTTTTAATCTTAGGCAGTTTCGCTAGTACTTTATTAAGATTCTAAGTATATTACTAAATTATACACTTGTTTACTCCTAATTTGCAAGCCTGACATCACCCGGCTACCTAAATGGCGCCCAAGTGCAACCTGTTACACTAGTTTGAAGATTACTCTAAAAACTAGGAGCTATGTTAAATCAGCCTAAGTGCTACACCAAAATGACTTTCCACTGACTCTAATTCTATTCCAAATTGTCTTCCCTACCAAAGCATCTATTCTTCTATTTATATTTTTCCTCCTATCTTTAACCTTTTGTACTATGGCTTCTTTAGAGTTAGGCAGTTTTCTACTCTTCTGATCAGAGCTTTTTTGTACTTCTGTCTTTTCTCTTCTTCTTTTCTCACTAATCTTCTTTTTATTCTGCAATTTGGCTCTTTTTCCTAACTTTTGTTGTTTAGAGATGCCTTTTTCTTTTTTCCATCTATCATCTATTCGCATCTTGATTGCTATATAATTTCATGGAAGCCATTACATAGAACATGTATTGTTGTGTCTAAGGCTAAGTTTGCTTCTCTTTTTGTTAAGTCTTGGTCAATAAGTTTTTCTATAACTGTGCTTTTAAATAGGCTCTGAGTAAAGCCTTCTCTTTGCTATTTTTGCTCTCTGTAAATTTCACCAAATAAGCATCGCTAGAGTTCGCTTGTTTATAATTTTCCTCTTCTCTCAGGTTTGTTTATGAGGGTTTGTATTGTTTCAATTGCTACTTGTTCAATTTTATGCCAATGGGTCTGTTGTACTCTGCAGCATGCTAAATAATCTTGTATTTCTTCTATATTATCTTTACACAATTTGCAGCTACTCTTCTCATATAGGTCTGGCCTTCTTTTAATGAGATTACTCAGTACTGAAAGCTAATTATGCAAGCACTTGATCAGGAAATTGAGCTTTTTTTCTTTTCGTATTGATGTACAGTACACTCCACTTTGAGATTTGATTCTTTTCCATAGACTTTTCTAATCCAATTCTGTATATTGTCTCTTGACTCAAGTAAACTTACAGTACTTAACATTATTTATTCTGCTGCAATTCTTGTATCTTCAAGTTCTTTGATGAAATTTCTTGTTGGGATTTCGATAAGGCTATTTTGCCAATAAATATTGTATCTGAGTCTTAAACTTAATACTACCTCCTGTATTCGCAAGTCTGGTAATAGCAACTCTTTTTTTGCTAAATGATCTGCTTCATCATTCTATTTGTTCTTACTATGACCCTTAACTTTAATTAATTCTAGCTTCAACTTTTTTGTGTTTTTGGCATCTATAATTTTAAGTAGCAAAAAGTAGTTTTTTTGTTTTAGCCATTCTCTATTCGTTTTTAGACCTTCATCTTTTTTTGGTCCTTATCGGGACTATAAGTAGAACTACCCATATTGTTGCTAATTCAGCTCTTGTTGATGACGGCCAATGTTCTATCCCTTAAATTGTAACACAGACAAATTTGCCTGCAAAGATTTTTACTAATTTTTTTAATATTTAAATTTTTTAATAAAAT